AAGGGCAAGGACAAAGAAAGGGTCCTAAAAGCAACAAGAGAAAAGATGCAAATAATATAAATTCCAATTCATCGGGCAACAGACTTCTCAACAGAAACCACACAGACCAGGAGCAAATGGGATGAAATTTTCAGTGTTGAAAGAAAAAAAAAAAATCTGCCACACAAGAATACTGTATCCAGCAAAGCTATCCTTCAACCATCAAAGCAAGATAAAGTCTTTCCCAGATAAACAAAAGCTGAGAGAATTCACCACCATGAGGCCCATCTTAAAAGAAATGCTAAAGGGAGTTCTTCAATCCAAAAGAGAAAAAAAAGCACTAATATGCAAAAACAAAAACATTTGAAGGTATAAAACCCACTGATGAAATTAAGTACAAAGACAATCCCCAAATACTTCAATACTGAAATTGTGGTGTGTAATCCACTTATAACTCTAGTATGAAGACCAAAAGACAAATCTACCAAAAACAATAACAGCTACAGCAACCTGTTAAAAGATAAGCAATATACAAATACATAAATTGAGACAACCAAAAGTCAAAATGTAGAAGGGATGGAGTTAAGGTATAAAGGCTTTTTTTTTAGTTCTTTTTTTTTTCTTTTAAATCTAAGATAAGTTGTCATCTCTTTAAGATGACTTAGTATATCTGTGTTTTATGTAAGCCTCATGATAACCACAATGTAAAAACCTATAATAGATACACTAAAAATGAAAAGCAACAAATTAAAACATATTCCAGAGAAAATCACTTAACCACAAAGGAAGACAATAAGAAAGGAAGAGAGGAATTATAAAACAAGAATTAGAAAACAAGCACAAAATGACAGTAGTAAGTCCCTACTTGTCAATAATAACACTGAATGTAAGGGGACTAAATTCTCCAATAAAAAGACATAGAATGGCTGAATGGATAAAAAAAAAAAACAAGCCCTAAACTACATGCTGCTAACTAGAAACTCACCTCCGCTGTAATGACACATAGATGGAAAGTGAAGGGATGGAAAAAAAAAATCTATGCAAGTGGAGATCAAAAAAGATCAAGAGTAACTATACTCACATCAGATAAAATGGACTACAAGTCAAAGACTATAAAAACAGACAAAGAAGGTCACTATATAATGACAAAAGAGTCCACTTAGCAAGAGGATATAATAATTTATATATCTATGCACCCAACACTGGAGCATTCAATTATACAAAGCAAACATTAATAGATCTAAAGGAAGAGATAAACTGCAATACTGTAATACTAGGGGACTTCAACAACCCATTCTCAGTAACAGATAAATCATCCAGACAGAAAATCAACAAAGAAACACTGGAGTTAAACCACATACTAGATCAAATAGGCCTAACTGACATTTACAGAATATTTCACCCAACAGCTACAGAGTGCAATGGTGTCATCTCGGTTCACCACAACCTCTGTCTCCTGGGTTCAAGCAATTCTCCTGACTCAGCCTCCCAAGTAGCGGGGATTACAGGCATGCACCACTATGCCCGGTTAATTTTTGAATTTTTAGTAGAGATGGGGTTTCTCCATGTTGGTCAGGCTGGTCTTGAACTCCTGACCTCAGGTGATCCACCCACCTCAGCCTCCCAAAGTGCTGAGATTACAGGCGTGAGCCACTGTGCCCAGCCCAGAATATACATTCTGTTCTCATTCTCCAGAACAGACCATATTTCAAACAAGTCTCAACAGATGCAAAAAAGTAGAAATCACAACATGGCACTACATATACAATATGCAGCTGTTGATCTGACAAATGCATCCTTTCTATCTCTATTAGAAAAGAGGATCAGAAACACATTGCCTTGGATCAGACAATAGTGAACACGTATAATCTTCTTAGAAGCATGTTAACTCTCCCACCTTTTATTGTAATACAGTCTGAAGGACCAAGACCAGCTGGGCATCTTGCAGAACATCACTGAACCACTACATCAATTATACCACGTTAATTGGACCAGAAGAGCAAGAAGTAGATAATACATTGGAGCTATGGCACATATACTCTGAAGGTGAGAGATAAACCCTACAAAGATTCAAGGGTCTTCCATTGGTGGCTCTCTGGTGGGTCCACAGTCCAGGGTATGCCAAGATATCCCTTCCAAAATAAGCAATAAATTATTGTATTTTGTACCTCTCACCATAAAGAAGGAAGCATAGAAGAATGATAGGTTTCTATGGGTTCTAGAGGCAGCATATTCCATAGCAGGAAATACTTGCTGTTACCTATACACTGGATGACATAAAAGGCTTCCAATTTCAGTGGGATCCAGAGCAGAAAAGGGCTCTGAAGCAGGTCCAGGTGGCAGTTTTACCACTTGTACCATACCACCCAGCAGATGGTGTTGTATTAGATACGTAGGAAAAGATTCTGTATGGAGTTTATGAGAAGTCCTAATGGGAAAATCACAATGTAGACCCAAGAGTCTGGCCGTGCTATCTGTAGCAGAGAAGTAAACACCTTTCAACAAACAGCTGCTGATGTGCTACTGGGCTTTTATAGAGATACAGCACCTGACAAAGGGATGCCAAGTGGCCAGGAAGTCAAGACCAATGATCATGAGCTGGGTTCTATACATGTAGAACACAAACATAGGCAGATGGCACAGTATGTTACGTTAGCAAGCAGCCTAGACTCCCATGTCTCTACCACTGTTGCACCAGTGTCTCTCCCTTGGCTTACAATTATTGCCACTGATCCCATATGACCAGATGATGAAAGAGGAAAATGCATGAATTTGACTCACAAAAGGGTATATTTTGGCAAACAAAACAGATGGTGGCTATGTTACTGTGCCACTCAGGGGGTGGCCCTGAAATTCAATGATAAGGGAAAACCCTCCCAAAGGGCAGACCTTTGAGCAGTGTACTTTGCCGTCTATTTGTGTAGAAAGGGTCTCAAGGTTAGAATATACATGGGCGGTGACAACTGGCTTGGTCATGGGATCAGGGTCCTGAAAACAGAGAGACTAAACTATTGGGAACAAAGAGATTTGAGATAAAAATGGTGGACTGGGCACATGAGAGTGGGCACAAAGTGTTAGGAGCTTTGTACTGCATTTGATCTATACCACCAAGTACCCATAATAGAAAAGGCCCTGACCAACCAAGTTACTATCAGGACTTGGCCAGTTAATAACACCCAGCATCCGGCATTGGAATAACTACTGTGGCAGGATTGGAGGCTAAGTAATAGACCTAACAGGATGGGCGCCTATACACTGAGGCTGATTTGTTATAGTCACTACTAAATTTTCAGCCTGCTAACAACAGAAACCAATGCTGCAATACTGAGTGCCTATTCCTCAAGAAGACCAATCAGCCACTTGGTGGCAAGCTGACTTACAATAATGATCCTAACAAGAGGCAGCGACTCATTTTGACAGGAATAGACACATATTTTCCATGATTCTCCTTTTCTATCTGCAGGGCATCAGCCAGCATCATGAAGGGCTTTCAGAGTGTTTGAACTACCTCATGGGACCTGTTTTATAGCAAAGGAGGAAAGAGAGTGGGCAAATGACCACAGCCTCTGCTTGTCATATTATTACGTGCTGCATCACCCAGAAGCCTCTACCCTGATAGAATAATTAAATAACTTGTTGAAGGCATACGTAACACGAACACCATCCTTTAAGATGAAATGTACACTTTAATGGTCTTTCTGTATGGCTGTGTTCTCAATAGGTAGAATACATGGGTCCAGGAATCAGGGTGTAGAAGAAGGAATGGCCCTGCTTTTTATCATTCCCAGTGATTCTCTTGGGGCAAATTGCACTTCCTGGCTCCACAACACTGGGCCCTGTCATTTAGAGGTCCTGCTTCCTAAAGGTGAAACACCTCCACCAGCAGATGTAGTTTGCAGTTCAGTGAGACCCAAGAAGAGACTCACTGGTCTCATTGAACTATGAGCTACATCTGCTGACTAGGTACTTCAGGTTCCTTGCACCGAGAAAGTAGCAGGCAAAAAGAGGAGTCACATCCTAGTAGGGATAATGGATCTTATTATAAAGAGGAGGACTACGGTTACACAGTTGGAGGAAGGAGGAAAATGTTGCTACCCAAGTAGTGCACAGATGCACCTCTTGGTATGCTCTTGCCCAACTGTGATTGTAAATGGACAGTGTAGCAGCCATTATCAGCCTAAAAAGATTATGGGGACCAGGGACTCTGAGCCTCTGAGGATTGAGGGCTGAGTTTTATCACCAGGTAAGTCACTGAGACCAGCTGAGAGTGTCACTGCATCCAAGGTTACCCCCATCTTTGAGTTCCCTGAACTTCTTGCTCCAATATGGGACACCAAAAGGGCCAAACAGCTTCAAAGTTTCCCGTGGGGTCAGCTGAGAACACTGTTGACACTGCATCACAACCCAAGTCCTCCTTCCACCCAATCCTCATTTCTTCCCATTCCTTCCACGGATGATGATCACGAAAGCATTCCCTAATAAACCTGCTGCCCACTGTCTCCTGAGTCTGCGTCCTGAGAGTCCCACCTGAGATACGGAGTTATAGTTTAGTGAGAAAAGATGATAAGAATATCATATAAATCACGTAATTTAAGATACATAAAATTACAAGCCAGCATTTGAGATACCCTGGATTCTCTTCAGATCATGTATCTTTTGCCTTTTATTAGAATTTCTGGAGATAGGACAAATTATGAGTTTGTAGCCAGTTTTTTCTTTGCTTTTTATTTTTGGCAGGGTTGCTGTGGTTTGGATATGGTTTGTTTGTCCCTTCTCCTGCAAATCTCATGTTGAAATTTGATTCCCAGTGTGGTGATGTTGGAAGGTGGGGCCTAGTGGAAGGTGTTTGGATCATGGGGGTGGATCCCATATGAATAGATTAATGCCTTCCCTTAAATGTGAGTGAGTTCTCATGCTATTAAATCCCAAAAGAGGTGGTTGTTAAAAAGAGCCTGGCACCTCTCCCTAACCCCTGCTTCCTCTCTTGCATGTGATCTCTGCACACACCAGCTTCCCTTTACCTTTGCATGAGTGGAAGCAGCCTGAGGCCATCACCAGATGCAGAAGCCCGATCTTGAACTTTCCAGCCATCTAAAATCAGGAGCCAAATAATATAAATTACCCAGTCTCCGGTATGTCTTTATAGCAACACTAAACAAACTAAGACAAAGTTTCTGTAGACGGTGTATGTGCTGCAATGGCAAAAAATATTTGCATTTTCAAAAGATTTATTTCAACATTATCCAAAACAGTATGTCGGAGATGAAATGGAAATTATGCTAATTTGAGGACAACGTCCACTGTGAGTAATGCTGCATCTAGAATAACACTGCATCTCAAGGTCCAAAGAAGTTAAAAAACATGAAAGAGCTCATATTGTAATATGAGTTATAAAAAGGATAGTTTCATGAAAGTTTCAGAGTATTATAACTAAGCAGCAGCTCTTACTACATTGAAAAAATGAATTTCTTTTAAGGTAATAAATTATAGCTTTACCCGAAAAATTGTAAACTTGTGGAAATTACTGAAGATGTGGTCTACTCAGAACATTTTACAACCTTGACAACATATTCAGAATTACTAGCTTAACAATATACTGAGACAGCGGATCACGATGGCTTTCTGCCACAAATACAGCTGATATCAAAAAGGAGATGATAATAATAAGCCAAGTCTTACATTTCTTGTAATTAATTTGTCATTTTCTAATTTCTTCATTTCCCTTAATAATTTTTTTAGGTTAAGACTTATCAAAAAGGCGATCTGCAGAGAACAGTGTGTAATGGAGATCTGATAGCTGTTCAGTCAATTTGAACATTAGAGAGGGCAAAGTAGATGAACTGGACTATGTGGGTTTTTTTGCTTCACTGCTTGGGCTGAGGCAAGAGTGGGACATTGTGGAGAGAAGACCTGAATAAACTAGTTTTTCCATCTATGCTAATCTGAGTGAATGGATAGCTGCCACATGTTTATAGCATTCCATTCTAATAGATACAATAGAGGTTTGAAAAATATTTACATATATCTCACCAAAAAAACAAAAAAAAGGGCAGAAGACAGAGAGAAACTGTTTTCAAGCGTATGAGCTAAAACCAAAGAAAAGCTTGGACTTACAGATGTCTCCAGTTATAATGTTTTAAAATAAGATGAACAATTAGAGCTCATTTAGATGGCAGATTAAGAATTAGATACTATAGTAAATGCTGGGTTCTATTACAAATGTTTACATTTTTATTTATGAGCTTGTGCTTTCATTCTGGTGCAATCTCCATTATGGCCAGAAGGGTGTGTTACTGCACAGGATTTATTTGAAATTCAGAAACTGATAGTACTTATGCCTGATTGCTTGGTTTATTTTATTCATTTTATCTTATATTTCTAGTTAAGAAAGGTAGTGTTAATGGCAAAAGAAAGCAGGCTAAGGATTTAATATTTTGTTCATGCACTTAATAAACGACTTAAGCAAATTCTTTGTTTTTATTTGCTAATAGTAGGATGGTAATAAAAATTAGTGTTAATAAGGAATATCAACTCACTTGATGGTGCTTGTGTCCTATTAATCATCTTTTGCTTTGAAACACTGGGCTAGGAACAAATTCATACTGAGCTTTAGGATTTTAAAGAATAATTTAGCTAGACTTTATTAAGGATTGACTATGTTACCTGACACTGGACAAAACATTTTACATGCATATATAAAGCCATTTTTCTAAGAAGCTGTACACTACAATAATTAAGTGAGCATCTCTAAAGATAGATTGCCTAGGTTTGAATTCAAGCTCCATCACATGTAAACAGCTGTGTGATTTGGGGCAAGTTGCTTAACCTTTCATTTCCTCAGTTTCCTCATCTCTAATTTAAGGGTAACTGACTTCTGCTTCCAAATGTGATATAGTAACAGGTGTGGGCTAGCGCTCCTCTCACTGTAAACAACTTTAAAACTGGACAAAAGACAGAAGGCAGCTCCTTTCAGACATTATACATATAAAGAAAAAATTATTCAATGAGGCAAGGTGCAGTGACTCACTCCTATAATCCCAGCACTTTAGGAGACTGGGGCAGGAAGATTGCTTGAAGCCAGGAGTTTGAGATCAGTCTGGGCAAATAGTGAGACTTCATTCCTACAAAAAATAAAAATAAATAAAAATATTAGCTGGGCTTGATGGTACCCTCCTGTAGTCCTAGCTACTTGGGAGGCTAAGATGGGAGAATCACTTGAGCCCAGGAGTTTGAGGCTGCAGTGAGCTATGATCATGCCACTGCACTCCAGCCTGGTGACACAGTAAGACCCTGTCTTCTGGGGGAAAAAAAAAAAAAAACAGAAATTTTAAAAATGATACTTGTTAAAGTACAATAAGGCAGATTTTATTTAGGACTATCTCAAAAGGTACAGGGACCTGTACAATGGGATTTAGCAGTAGGGGAGAGAGGTTAGGTTCAGCTGTGAATATAGCATGGGCAAGAAGGAATTTATAGACAAGGGGCAGGGTGGTGGCAATGGATAGAAAATTACTAAGAGGAAACATCAAAGGTAAGGGGAATTCTGGCTAAACCAACCAACCTAACAGTATTCTTGCTAAAGTCAGGCCAGATTAATCAGATGTCACCTTTGGGATGGTAGAGGATGAGGAACCCAATTAGGTATCAAGGGTGATCAGATATCAAAAGTGGGGATTCTTGCTAACCCAACTAAGCAGGGTTCTTGCTACAACTGGCTTTTACATTGAAGTGCACAAATGGGCTTAGCAGAAGCCTTAGGAGCCTGATTAAAGTTTGAACAAGCAAAGAATCTTAGACAACAGCATAGGCTGCTAACCTGACAGAGGAGAAACACATGAGTTGATCCCTCTGGTGGCCCTACATTTCTGCTCAAGGGCCCATTTTGGACTGCAGAATGGAGAAGTGAAGTTCAGAAAGACCTCAGGGATGCTGAGTTGCCTAGAGTAAGTAGGGCAGAGTGCCTGAGGATAAGAAGTGGTGTAGAGAAGAAACTACAGAATCCTGCATAGGGATTCCCTTGAAGTCTTTAGCCAAATATAAAGCTGTGCATGTGCAGAGTAAGATTCTGTGAAGGCCAGCAGAGAAAAGTTACCACTGAGGAGTGACAAGCTGAGTCAAGATTCCACAAGTCCTCCAGTGTTGGAAAACAAAGGTGATCAGCACGATCCAGCAACACATGTTCTGATTATGTGTCACATTTTCCTGCTTTTCTGATTCTCTTACATTTTGATAGATTATATGTTGTACATTACAGATTCTACCTTGTTGTGAATCAAGACTTTGTCGTCTTCCTTTAAAGAGTATTGAGTTTTTTTCTCACAGTTAATTTACTGATGGATCACATTGATTCTTATAGGAGGGGTATTTTAAAAGCTTTGTTGGCATGGGTTTAAAGTAGACCCTTTCTAGAGACTAAAGCAGCCCTATTCTTTAAGTATGGCTCTTTCCACAGCATTGCAAGTCACAAATTCAAGATTCAAGAGGTGGGCCCAACTTTTCATGGGTAGAGTTAAAAAAAAAATCACATTGCAAAGGGTCTGCCTACAGGGAAGGACTGGAGAAATTCTTGCAATGGATCTATCACAGTTCATTTCAATCTGTTTCTTCTTCACTACCCGCATATTTCTGGTGCCAAGCAATAGGTCACATTCACATCATAGTGTGACCTCTGGCCCTGCTTTTATGTGTAGGGTGTAGGTGAACCTGCACAATCACTAGTAGGAGTATTCCTAGAAAACATTCCAATGGTGGGATGACCAATATTTAAGTATACATGGATGTGACTACAAACCACATACATATATCCCATTAAACCCAAACTCAATATAGTCTCAACTCAATTTATCCCTTGCCAAATCCCAGAAATGCCTGTGATCATTCAAAAACTTTAAAGTTGGGGGCTGTGCCTAGCCAGAGCAAGGAACAGTACCGGGATGGGAGACAAGAGGGAAGTCAGAGTGGGAAGAGACAGCAGGTCTAATTGTCAAGGGCCAAGCTTGGTTCCAGAGAGTTGAGGAGCCAGATGTCAGAAAAGCAGTGAAGACAATAAGCCAACATGAAAGGAAGGGTCAAGTCTTTAATCCCATGCTGTGATAGAATGGCACCAATCCAGGGTCAGGTGGATCAGCACAAAATTGCTGAGGGAATGCCTGAACAAAAGGCTCCTGCAGTTTTATGGACCCAGGGCCTGGGATGAGGAGAAGGTGAAGGGCTTGGAGTGGAAAAGTGCTTAGTACTGAGTCCGAGTGGGGAAAAGTGTCTTCAAGCTTCCTCCTCTCCTCCAATAAGGAGGTCTCTGCAGAAGTCCTTAAGGAAGCTCCCCCTCTACATAGAGACCTCCAAATGGATCCCATAATGATTTGGTCCCTCTGAGTCACTGTTCTCTGGCATCCTTAATTCCAATATTCTTCACATCACATGAACTCTTTGAGCCTCAGTTTCCTCACCAGTAAAATGGGGATAAGCTGCTCTACCCTCGTCTCGGATTAGAGAGATGAAATGAGATAATAAATGTGCAAATGCTTTGAAAACCTTGAAGATGCAAAAATGTAAGCCATTTTCTTCTTACAAAGTTATGAAATTGAGGTGGCTAGAAATAGAAAATAATTCCCTCTGTAACATTTCAACTTCACAGGCTTTAAGGGATCAGCTAAGTAAAAAAAGGAAATGGTTTACCCAAGCACAGGATTCCAAGGTTATTTATGGCATTCTCTGAATCTCTGTAGTACTTCCTGTTGTTACAATCTGTCCTGCATTGTCTGATGATGGCCTTTTATCTTAAATGATGCTGAGACTTTTTGTTACTATTACATCGGCACTGTCTGAAAAAAAGATAATGCAAACCATATATACAATTAAAAATTTTCTAGTAGCCACATTCTTTGGGAAAAGAAACTAATTGAGTTATATTTTACTTAACCTGTCAAAAACATTATCATTTTAATATGTAATAAATATAAAAATTATTAATGAGATATTTTACATTCTTTTTTACATGCGTCTCTGAATTCCAGCGTATATTTTATATTTTACATTTATAGTACATGTCTTTTTCTTTTTTTTTCTTGGAGACAGAGTCTTGCTCTGTTGCCTAGACTGGAGTGCAGTGATGCGATCTCAGCTCACTGCAACCTCTATCTGCTGGGTTGAAGCAATTCTCCCACCTCAGCCACCCACGCCCAGCTAATTTTTGTATTTTTAGTAGAGACCGGGTTTTGCCATGTTGGTCAGGCTGGTCTCAAACTCCTGGCCTTAAGTGATCCGCCCACCTTGGCCTGGCCTTGCTGTCACTGACTTTGTAAGGAGTTTCTGCAAATGTTTCTTCAGACTTTTCCCACATTTTTTAAAACCCCTATTTATATTAATAATTAGTTGCAATTTCTTCCACTGTCACAGAGAACACAGAGACCTTTGATTTGCTCTTTCCACCACAGAATATTACTCTAGGAAAGCATTCCATCATAATATATATAAGGTGCCTAAACTGTGCTATAATCTTAAGCATTACAGGGACTCAGAATGAGGTCGTTAAAGCAGTGTTTTCCAAAGTGTGTTCCGCGGAGCTAATCCCACATTCAGCGTATGCAACTTGATATTTTAATTTGTACCCTAGTGATCTAGTCTTATTCCTTCTGGGTACATATTGCGTCACATCTTTAAACACATCCAGCTTCTAGAATGGAGTACATGCAGGAGTTCCTTGAGCTTCGCCTTCCAGCTAAAGACAAAATCAGCAATTGCCTTTAACCACAGGAACTTCAGTCCGTTGGTCACTAGGGGGAGACACACATGTGGTGGGCCTCTCTAGGCTCCTCAAATCCCGCCAGAGTCGCCCACTGCATATACTCTGCCCAGCCAAACCACACCCAGTCTTAGGAAGAGGAAACCGCCATCCATTTCGTGCTACTGTGGCCGGCGAGCTCAGAGTGGAATCATTTGCAAAGCAGCTCCTCCAAGAACAACCAAGCCGAGATCTAGCTGATCCATGATTGAATTCAGAGTAAAACTTGACAGAATAAAACTCCCTTCGGCTTGTCCGTACTACCTGGGTTTGCAGAAATAATGCTTTTCCTTAGCATTTAATTTTGGGACCTGTAAATATAACAGCTTTTTAGATGCATTCCATAATCTTCAATGAACTTACTGCAGTAATAGAAGATAATTGGGTTAATATAAACTGCTCCAAGGGGTTTCTGATCAGACGGAATTTTATTTCATTTGAAATGAAGTTAGTGCTTAATTTTGCAAGTTACATAATCTTGACTTTACTCTGAATAGTGGCCTTACATGAAGGAAAATTTCCTTTTCATACATGTGAGAAAGAAACTGTTTCTTATACTCATGTTCGCGACTGTGACCGTTAGTCCAAGTTGAGGCAATTAACATATTTAGGAAGAAAAAAATCTTCCTCACAGAAGGATTGGCATTGGCCCTTCTGTACAGTAGCGTAAAGTCTGAAGGAAAAACCCTATTGACACCACTTTCCAGCCAAATGCTACAGGACGGTATCAATACTTACTGTACTAAGTGGGCATTTATTTACTTATTTCACAGTGAAGATATCTTTTCTGGAAAATTCCTCATAAGAAAACTGAAATTCAAGCTCCTGCTCGTTCTTCCGCCACCGCTACTCGATGCTGCTTTTTGTGCCCATAGGTTCTTCTGCCCTAAGCAAAAGCTGTTCAATGACGGCGCCGGCGCTGACGTCAGGGAGCAGGGCCGCCAGGCCCCACCAGGTCGCCACTGAAGCCGCCCCCCGGCCCTGCCGGGGGCTGTGCGGGGCGGATGGAGGTTCCCAGGCGAAGGAGTCCGGGAACCCCTAAAGACCCTTTAGGAAGTGGGGTACGGAAAACCAAGCACGAGCAAGAGGCCCCGGGCGGCTGTATCCCTGCTCCGGCGAGTTCAGAGGGAGCGGGCGCCGCGGCCATCCAAGAGCGAGAAGGACGGCGGCGCGGAGGAGGGGATTGGGAGGGGTGTGGGCAGCTCAGAGGCGCGGGAGCTGGGAGCACCGCGATGCTTAGGAACTAAAATGCTTGTCTGAATCTGCACCGGGTGGGGGAGGAAGGAACAAGGGCTTGGGAGGAGACAGATACAGTTTAGAAATTGCGGGGGGCGGGGCGAGCCGGGCGCGGGGGCTCACGCCTGTAATCCCAGCACTTTGGGAGGCCAAGACGGGCTGATCACCTGAGGTCGGTAGTTCGAGACCATCCTGACCAACATGGAGAAAGAAACCCCGTCTCCACTAAAAATACAAAATTAGCCGGCTGTGATGGTGCGTGCCTGTAATCCCAGCTACTTGGGAGGCTGAGACTGGAGAATCGCTTGAACCCGGGAGGCGGAGTTTGCAGTGAGCCAAGATCATGTCACTGGATGTTATTTGTTAATTTTTTGATGTATACTGCAAGATCACACAAGAAATGAAGCTATTAAGCCCAGGTATTGGGCCCTTTATAAAGGTGTTTTTTCATGGTGAATGGGTAAATATGTCTCTACTTTGTATGCCTATTAAACAACCCTGACTCTGTGGCCTTGAAAGGAGAGATCATCCCTTAGTTTTCCCTCTCATTAGCCTTATGTGAGAGCTTTTTTTCAGAGACACGCAGCCAGGAATATTGATTCCAGCAGCTGTCATTGTAGTGGAGAATTTGGGGTTTGAATCATAGAAGATAGAACTAGATAAAATCCTAGATGTTACCTCCAATCCCTTCATTTAAAATTTTGAGGTTATCCAGGCCAGGTGCAGTGGCTCACGCCTGTAATCCCAGCACTTTGGGAGGCGGGTGGATCACCTTAGGTCAGGAGTTCGAGACCAGCCTGGCCAACATGATGAAACCCCGTCTCTACTAAAAATACAAAAATTAGCTGGGTGTGGTGGTGCTCACCTATAGTCCCAGCTACTCAGGAGGCTGAGGCAGGAAAATCGCTTGAACCCGGGAGGCAGGGATTGCAGTGAGCTGAGATGGCACCACTGCCCTCCAACCTGGGCCACAGAGTGAGACTCTGTCTCAAAAAAAAAAAAAAAAAAAATTCAGGTTATCCAGATTAAGAGAATTGACAGTTAAGACAGACCAAGAGTAATAACTTTTAGACATCTGTAGACCCTAGTTATTGGGGGTGCTGGACTCTTAATACTTTTCCAAGAAAAGGGGTAAATCTTGTGTTTCTTAATTCGGAAGGAAAAAAAATCTGCCACTTGCAATTTGGCGTGGGCTAGAGGCAGTACTATCAGTTATATGCCTCTACAGTGTGACATTGAGTGATATACATGGAGAGAATCTGCGCTATATTTTATGGTTTACTGTTTTGGGGAAATGAGGCCTTTGACATACAAGGTAATTCTTGTTGGGGACTCTGCTCAGTAGGAGGCCATCACCTAGGCTCCATGCCAAAGGGAAAGCTTGTAAACTCCACTTCCCTGGAAGGCTGATAACTTGTAATAATAATGACATGAATTACTTGGTCCTGCTGGGTCCCAGCTTATGAGATTCTTTCTGATCAAAGTTACCATCATGGGCAAACTGTGGGTAAATAGGTTTTAATCTCTGTGTTTGTAAAGTTCTATTATCCTGGTCCAAGAGATTGGCAGTCTATAACTTCCTTTTTTTTTTTTTTTTAACACAAGCATTAAATTAACACTTTTTGCTCTAAACTAATTACAGATTCACAGGAAGTTGCAAAGGTAGTAGGGAGATGTCCCTGTACCTTTCACCAAGTCCTTCAGTGGTTAAATCTTACATAAATACAGTGCAATATTAAAACAAGGAAATTAACGGTACAACATGGATATAGATAGATGTCATTTTTTTAATTCAAAAATTTTACTTGCGGTAAAATGTACATAACATAAAATTTACCATCCTAGGCCAGGCACGGTGGTTCATGCCTGTAATCCCGGCACTTTGGGAGGCCGAGGTGGGGGCGCATCATGAGGTCAGGAGTTCGAGACCAGCCTAACATGGTGAAACCCCGTCTCTACTAAAAATACAAAAATTAGCTGGGCGTGGTGGTGCTCACCTATAGTCCCAGCTACTCAGGAGGCTGAGGCAAGAGAATTGTTGAGACCCGGGAGGTGGAGGTTGCAGTGAGCTGATATTGCTCCATTGCACTCCAGCCTGGGTGACAGAACAAGACTCCATCTTGAAAAAAAAAAATTACCATCCTATTTTTAGGTGCACAGTTCAGCAGTATCAAGTACATTCACATTGTTGTGCAACCAATCTCCAGAACTCTTTCTCTTGCAAAATTGCAATTCTGTATGTACCCTTTAAATACTAATGTCCCATTTTCTACTCCCATCTTCTGGAAACCACTTTTCTATTATACTTTCTACTTCTATGAATTTAACTACTTTGGGTACCTCATATAAGTGGAATCATATAGTATTTGTCTTTTTGTACCTGACTTATTTCTTTTTTTTTTTTTTTTTTGAGATGGTCTCGCTCTGTCGCCCAGGCTGGAGTGCAGTGGCCAGATCTCAGCTCACTGCAAGCTCCTCCTCCCGGGTTAACTCCATTCTCCTGCCTCAGCCTCCTGAGTAGCTGGGACTACAGGCGCCCGCCACCACGCCCGGCTAGTTTTTTGTATTTTTTTAGTAGAGACGGGGTTTCACCGGGTTAGCCAGAATGGTCTCGATCTCCTGACCTCGTGATCCGCCCGTCTCGGCCTCAGTACTCCATCTTTTATTACATGTGTCCTTTTTTAAAAAGCTAACTTCTTACAACAAATAAAAAATTATTATCAGGCCAGGCGCAGTAGCTCATGCCTATAATCCCAGAACTTTGGGAGACTGAGGCAGGCAGATCACCTGAGGTCAGGAGTTTGAGACCAGCCTGGCCAACATGGAGAAACCCCATCTCTGCTGAAGAAACAAAAACTAGCTGGGTGTGGTAGTGTGCCCTGTAGTCCCAGCTGTTCGGGAGGCTGAGGAAGGAGAATCGCTTGAACCCAAGAGGCGGAGGGTGCAGTGAGCTGAAATCGCACCACTGCACCCCAGCCTGGCGACAGAGCGAGATTCCGTCTCATTAACAACAACAACAACAACAACAAAAATTATCATCAACCAAGAAAATAAATGAACAGTTGTAGACTTTCACCATGCAATAAATACTAGAATAATTATAGCAAGAGTGAACGAACTGTTATACACTCTTCCATAAGACTGTTAAGCCTCTACGTACTCTATAACTTTCCACAATTTTCATTGACCCTGCTTTGTGTACCTTGCATGCCAGGGCACAGACCACAGCACAGCAGACACACCAAGTAGCTGAGCAGTAGCATCAACTGCTGCTCCCACAGCTCTGGAAGGATCCAGCTGTCCTCAGCCCCTCAGTCTGAGCATACTTTGTTTTATCATCAAGCACCCTGGCTATTCTCCTTGAAATTTTAGGAGGTAGTTATATTGATTCCTGCAAGGCTCTGTGAGAGAGAGAGAGAATATTGTTAAGGTTTTCACGTTTTTTTCAGATTTAATCATGTGTTAAGTGAGAATCTTGTTCATTGTATATACCTACTCATATACTGCTAAGTATTTGAGTGAGACCATGTCTCTAAACTAAAAGTAAAATGTAGATCTCTAATAAGCTCATGCTGGCTTATTTATTTATTTATTTAGAGACAGAGCCTCACTTTGTCCCCCAGGCTGGAGTGCAGCGGCATGATCTTGGCTCCCTGCAGCCCCAACCTCCCTGGTTCAAGAGAGCCTCTTGCCTCAGTTTCCCAAGTAGCTGAGATTACAGACACATGCCACCGCACCCAGCTAATTTTTGCATTTTTTGTAGAGACAGGCTTTTGCCACGTTGCCCAGGCTGGTCTCAAATTCCTGGGCTTCAGCAATATGCCCTCCTTGGTCTCCCAAAGTGCTGGGATTACAGGTGTGAACTACTGTACCACAGGGTCAAGAGGGTCAGGAGCTGATCAATGAGGTTCCCACTGGCCAAAGAGGAGACAATTTAAGCATCAGTAAAAATAGTAACTGCAGCAGGTTAAAACACATTTAAATTATTACTCCTCGCACTTTGGGAGGCTGAGGTGGGCAGATCATCTGAGGTCGGGAGTTCGAGACCAGCCTGACCAACATGGAGAAACCCCATCTCTACTAAAAACACAAAATTAGGCAGGCGTGGTGGTGCATGCCTGTAATCCCAGCTACTTAGGAGGCTGAGGCAGGAGAATCGCTTGAAGCCGGGAGACGGAGGTTGCAGTGAGCCGACTGAAAATTGCACTCCGGCCTGGGCAACAGAGTGAGACTCCATCTCAAATAATAATAATAATAAAGCAATTGGGGAAGATGAGCAGCTTAAAAAATAATAGCCCAAAAATACTATGCTAATATATAGGAAATTCTGAGAGAATGAAGTAGAAAATTAAGTATTTTGGGGGAGAATCTTAAGGAAGAGAAAGGTTGAATGTGAGGAGGTTTAATTTTCTTTGAAAGAAAAATTCTCATTCTTGTATTTCTCTTCTAAAATTTTATAAATCTGAATTTGAAGGGTAAAGTACTAAGCTGTTACATTTGGGAAGTTTACTCTTGGTAAACTTTAAAAATGATGGACAATTTCAGGAATAAGTCGGAAATATTGAGCTTTCATTATTTATACCTTAGAGTACTTGTTATATGGATGACCTCATTAAGAGACTTGAGAGCTTCCTAGTAGAGATTTGTTTTTGTAGTTTTCACTTCCTCCCAACCCAACAAACCCATTGTTTTAAAGAGAAAACAGCCCAGTTAGCATGTTAGCAGAGGCTGTGCCGTTGAAGCAGGCTGGTCTTCAGGCAGACAGCTGTCCACATTGCACAGCTGCCTGGCCACGCAGCTGCCAGACAGGTCGTGCAGTTCTGTCAGGCCAACCCACACACTTCGATGGTCATCCCTTGCCATCTGATGGCTTTCTGAGTCAACAAACTGTTGTCACATATTCAGTTGTGTTTATCCCATTGTATCCTCCAATTCTGTACTTAGCAAG